CTCCTCCTCCTCCTCCTCCTCCTCCTCCTCCTCCTCCTCCTCCTCGTCCTCGATCCCCATCCTGGACCTTCGATCCTCGATCCTCGACCCTGAATCCTCCTCCGCGCACGCGCCCAGCGGGGCCAGGGGAGCGGGCGGGCGGCGAGCGCCCCTGCCGCACCACCCCCGAAGGACCGACTCCTCTGCTTGGCCCGCGGGCCACACAGGGTTTCGACCCCTCGACAGTTGCCCGGTCCCGCAGTTTTCGGGAGCCTGGTTTAAGGATTTGTACTGGGGGCGCCCCCCCGCCCCATTTCCACTAACCAGAACTGCCGTCACCCGAAAAACACCAGTTACGGCAAACCTGGTTTAGTGAATCTGGCCAATTGAGGGGCCCCAGGGCCCTACCACTAACCGGGTCCCCTTACCCGAAGTTTGTTCCTCCTCGAGCCCCCGGGACCAGCAAAAACGGATCCGGGGCGAAAAGCTGGCCCTGGAGCCTCTGAAGCCGCGCATTGGGAAAGTCAGGTCGTAGGACGTCTGGGTCTGATGGGGGTCCCAAAACTGTCTGGGGCCCTCGAGGCCCCGGATGCCCGAGACTCGTCCCCAGAGAGCGACCCAAGTCCCCAGATTCGTGCGGCCACCGCGACACCCTACTGGCTCACCATACGGTGTGGTCACCGTGCTCTTTAGGGTCATCCCGCCTCCCTCTGGGGGACAGCGTCTCGCCTCAGGCCAACTGTTCCGTCTCCCGGGGCCAAGAAAAATGCCTCCCCGCGCGGCCGAGATTGGCAAACCCAAGAGGTTTCGACCCCTACCTCTGGGGGACAGCGTCTGTCCCCGAGGTAGCTTTTCTTGGCTGGCAGCCAAGAGAACAGGCCCCCGCGGATGCTCAGGATGGGATAACAAAGAACGCTGGGCTCTGAAAAAAACCTGGCGAGAGACCCAACCCATGTAAAGTTGGTGTTGAACCTCTCTGTGCAACATCCGTGGGAACGTCGCGATTCGCGCCAGCGCCGTCTGAGAAAGGCTGGGGGCATTGAATTCCCAGACGGTGCCAGCGCGACTCGTGACTTTACTGGCCCCCTCCCCCCCCGCGGCAGTAACGGCCGTTATCGCGAGAGGATACGAAAAACAAAAAAAAACAAAAAAACAAAAAACAAAAAAAAAAAAACGCTCAGGCCACGGCTGCCGCCTGCTGCCGCCCCGGGGAGCAGCCCTCAGTGCCGATGGGGCGCCCCCATACTCCTGGACCCAGAACTCTGACGTCGGCTATGTTTCACAGCCTGAACCTCCGGAGGTCTGGACCCATTCCCGGGGACCGGTTCTCATCCCTCGAGTCGTTTCTGGACGGTCCTGGGGGTCTGGCGAGGGCCCCCAGGGGCCGAACACTGCAGACAGACACTACTCCGACGGAAGGACCCCACATGAGAATCCTGTGGGCGAATCTGGAAATAACGCTAACCGTCGTCCTCGTGGTTGGTGAGGCGCCCTGACTGTCTCTTCTGCGTATATTTCTTCTCGCCCTGGCGCGGGCCCTCCTCCCGCTCCCTACGTTGCCCCCGACCTCGCCCTCCTGTTTTTTTCGCGCCCCGCCACCGCCTCGCCTTTCCATTGCGCGAGCGCGCATGTCGGTTTTCCTCGGCGCCGTCGCCGCCTCGGCCAGCACAGGCGCGTTCTCTAATGGCCACGTCGCGCAGCCGTTGGGACAACCCCGCGGGCCAGGCTGTCGGGGCAACCCCGCGAGCCGCTTGCGCGCAAGACCAAGCCGTTGGGACAACCCCGCGGGCTTCGAGCGGGGCGCAGCCGCGCTCAGGCGGGCAGCACGAAGCCCAGCTCTGCCGCGAGCTGCTTCGCCTCCGCCCTGGACAAAACCGCTCTCTTGTCGAACTCCAGGAGCGCCTTCCGCAAGGACGCTGGCGGCCCTCGCTCCAGGAACTCCCGCGGCGGCGGCCGCAGGATCAGCATGTTCCGCGTGCACGTGGCGCGGGAAAGCATGACGTAGAGGTGCAGCCACCACTGCTCGT